TCACGATTTCTAGCAATAGTATCAACAATTCAAAAAATTTGCATTTGAATTGCTATAGTATTTTAGACTCTTGTGCATTTGCTTATTGATTGAAATTTTTCAATTGCAATTAACCATTATGAAAATTACATATAGTTAGCCACAACTAGCATATTAAAATCCACAGGGACTCCTTTATCCTTTTTTTTAAACCGTGATGATGCAGAGAAGTTTAATTGGCTGAAAATTTTCCATATCTGCTTAATGCTGCACTTTAAAAGATAGTCAAAAAAGACTGTTTTAAAAAAAATATATCTGAGAATAAAGGTTCTGAATTGTGTGGAAGTGACTTTAAGTGGTCACATATTCCCATGATTTGGCACAGAGACAGTAGGATATATTTAATCTTAAGAGAAAGAGAAATTATGCAACATTTGGAATACCAAGGTTGTGAAAGGCCATTCCAAGCACCACAATTCAAAAGGAGTTGTCACCTCTGCTGTTTTGATCAAGAAGATCTGCCTAATGAGTACATGGTCAACATGTCATGCCATCACTACATTTGTACAATACTTTTCCTAGGATGCAAAATTTCTGTCTCAGAGAATTCTTGAAGATGTCATTGTGGTGGTAGGGCTTTATAGATAAAGGTTATTCCGTAATGGAACCCAAATAATATTATACAATTAGCTTTCAGTGAATCATTGACTAAAGTTGGGATTACATAATTTCAGTCTTTTAGTTTATGAGGCACTATCAAATGGGCCTTGCCTTGTTGACAGAATGCATATTTATCTCTTGCAATTATCAACCCTTCAAGGACATTCTAGTGATCTTAATCCTCTTCATGCATCTTATCAGTTCTCTTTCATTTCCCTGAAAGTTGCCTCACATAGTATTTTTCTCATCTATTATCCACACACATATAAACAAACTATATGAATTTCTGTTTGGTGGCCGTCACATCAGAGAGCAGTCATCTTTTATTTGGTCCATTTATTTGACCTCTTTTTGTAATGCATGTTATTCTATGAATTTTTCCAAATTCATAACTTGAATGAGTCTACTTTCTTTTTAAAGGTACTTTCTTTTTAGTAGGGATGTGGTGGCTCAGTGGCTAAGACTCTAAGTTTATTGATCAGAAAGGTCGGCAGTTCGGCAGTTTGAATCCCTAGTTCCACGTAACGGAGAGAGCTCCCATTACTTGTCCCAACATCTGCCAATCTAGGAGTTCGAAAGCATGTAAAAATGCAAGTAGAAAAATAGGAACCATCTTTGGTGGAAAGGTAACAGTGTTCCGTGCACCTTCGGTATTTAGTCATGCTGGCCACATGACCATGGAGACTTCTTCGGACAGCACTGGCTCTTCGGCTTTTAAATGGAGATGAGCACCACTCCTTAGAGTTGGGAACGAGGGGAATCTTTAACTTTATTTTTTTTCCAAGCCATTCATTACTACAATCAAATCTATTTTAATGGATTAATCAGAAGAGATGTCTTTTATTCATTGATGTCTATTTAATACAAAAGTACATCAAATAAGAATTTTTAAGAATTTGCTTTAAAATATAATTCTACAAATTATGTTATTTGAGTCAACTCACATAGTTTACACAATGATGGCATTCCACAAATGACACAAATTGTGCTATTTGCATACTTTTATATTATTTGCGTAATGAAATCAATATGCAAGTGACCAATTGACAGAAATGATGTAATTTGCATCATTTGCAAAATATTTTAACTAAGTAAATAATTGCAGAAATCTGCTCTATTGTGTTTGAAATCCATTATATCAAGTTCTGATTTCTTTCAATTATTCTGATATTTGTTGTCACAGAAATATCCTTAGCCTTCATGATTTCAAATTAATTGTCGTTCCTGTCTTCGCTAGAATTAATTTCCTCTTTACTTATTCAATACTCAAGATGATGAAAATTATTTCCTGTTTTTATTTCTTTACTATTAAGTTTGAGTTCATCAAGAGTGATTAAGGTGGTGACCTAGAAACCAGGAAGCTGTGAATTCTAGCCATGAGAGCTGGGGGACTTTGGGCCAGTTACTCTCTCTCAGTTCAACCTACTTGAAGGGTTGTTGTAGTGGGGTAAATAAGAAGAGGAAGGAATATTTGCTACCTTGAGTTAGCAAGTAATAAAAGAAGGATTTTAAAAATCTGATAAAAATGCTGGTTGACATAGTCGTTGATGTCTTAATATTAACAATAACCCATATTTTACACTATTTACTTTGCTACTGAGTTTTTTAAGCCTTCTTTATTTTCAGCTAACAAAGTAGCATCATCTGTACATTTCAGGTAGCTAGTTTTTCTTGCTCCAGTTATGATTCCAAATGTCATTTCTTCCAGACTTGTCATTTTTATATTACATTATCTTCACAGTTTAAACAGATACATTCCTGTCCCATTTCCATTTTTAAACCAATGTTTTCAAACATATTTCTTATAGTAGTAGTTCCCTCTCAGTTGTAACACTTCCCAGAAAAATAATTACATATTCAATAATTACATATTCATTACATCTTCTGTAAGTAAATTTCCTTCTCAAGTTCTCCTACTTTCACCATTACCCATCTTGTGTTAGTTATCCAATTTGTTGTACTTTTATCTTTACTGAAACTTGCTTGTTTATATAGCATTGCTATTTCTTTATATAAAACTTTAGCCAAAAATTTGCTTGTGTGAGGAATTACTGTGATGCACAATCTCTTGCATCTGTCTTGTTTGGTATAGGCAGTTTTGCATTAATCCTTTACATACATTGATTTTTTTATACATACATACATACATNGTTATTATGCAACAAATAGGAGGAATATTATATATGTCCATCATTTAAGTGATTTATTTATAACCCAGTTTTATTATTTTTATAAACTGAATAACTATTGGGTTGGGCAGGATGCTTAGTTTGTGTGTTACAATATGTTCTGACTTATTGAGATGTGTTTTATTGTTTGTTCGTATTATTTTTTACTAAGATAAATGTAGTTCTTTCTTACATACAAAGCCAGTTTGGTGTAGAGGTTAAATCATGAGATTAGAAACTAGGAGACTGTGAGTTCTAGTCTCATTTTAGATGTGAAACCAGCTGGGTGACTTTGGGCTCCGTCTCAATCTTAGGAAGCAGGCAAAGGCCAGCCACTTCTTAAATCTTGCAAATACAGCTTCAGGAACTGGTCCAGGCAATCCACCAGGAGTCAAATACTGATTTGAAGGCACTTTATTAGTAGACTTATTTTGCATACAGTATAGGAGTATGGGATCTGTCAGAGAGGAGGAATGTCCTTTGCAGCTTTTCACCTGCCACTTTCAAATGCAAATCAGCTAGTGGCTTTTTCTTTTTAATAAACAGATTCCAGCAATCATGATATCACTAAAATACTAATGTTTCTCTTCCATAGCAACTGATCTGATAGAGCCGTAAGAATGGCAGATTTTTCATTCAGCATTCACCAGGAATGAAATGAATGAGCTTCAAATTCTTACTTTTTCCTTTACCTCCTCTATATAGATCATGTTTTTGCTTCTGTTCATTTTATCTTAAGGCGCAACTGCCAAATGTCAAGATGGCAGCCATCACCATGTAGTACTTGATCAGCCAGGATCATGTAATCAAAGTCCTGTCACTGTTTTCAGGTGCCACATGGTAAACAGGGGCAGGGGTTTGGTCACATGGTCTTGGCCATTATTTTGATTTTTTTAAATCTGCCCTTGCAGGTGCTCTCGTTTGCCTTTTAACTATGTCTGACCCAGTGGTGGGTTCCAAAATTTTTTAGAACCTATTCTGTAGGTGTGGCCTGTTTTGTGGGAGTGGCTTGGTGATTATGTGACCAGGTGGGAGTAGCTGGGCAGTTGTGTGACTGAGTGGGAGTGGTCAAGTCAATGTCACTGAATTCTTTGCCCTAAAGAATGACCTACAAAGAGAAGGTATAAAAAAAAGGAAATTTATTATTCTGTGCACTTACTACTTAAATAAGAATAAGTATACAAAACAATAAAACAACTACTTACAGAGGAAATGTGGCTGTCCTTGCTGGTCTTCAACATTACTGACCACCTTACACATACACATACAGCCCCTCTGCCTCTTCCCTCTTCCTTGATTCACTCAGAAGTTTTTAAAAACCCACAGTCTGTGCACACACATACACTTCCAGCCCCTCTGCCTCTTNAACAAAACCTTTGGGATGTATGTTTGTGGAGCCAACTGTTATCTGACACTGTCAGATACCTAAAGCCAGGTTTCCACAGCTACACTGAGGAGGATTCCGCTAACAGATTTTATCCTGATGCAAGAGAAATCCAAAATAATCTTAGTTCCACAGGTCACTTTTCCAGAGACACTAGCTCTGTAAGTTTGTTTGTTTTTTAAGTAAAGAAGGAAATAGCCTTGGTGAAGATAAATTAAAAAATTATAAAAGAGCAGTTTTGAAGCATTTAATCTAGAAGGAGTGACAGTGCTGCCTTTGAATAAAGTATTAGTCAATGCTCAGTTTAAATTTGCTCTTCTCTTTCCTGTTCTTTTATTCTCTTACTTTAACAGATGAAGTCAGACTGGGTGCTTTTTGTGTTTCTTTAAATACCAAGAAGACAACAAAAGATATTTAAAACAGCTCACACTGATGTAGTTGATAGTTGTGGGAGGGAAATGCACCAAAATGTGCCCTTTTCTAGAATGTATCAGTCCTTACACCTTCCTGGAAAATACAAAGGGCAAAATAATAAGGGGGGAAAGCCATAAAAGAGAAAGAGAGAGAGAGAAATTCTAGATAATAGTATCCCCCTTTTCTGTGTCACTCTCTGTCATTTGAACATGCTTTCCCAAAGTTTGAAAGCATGTGTAAAAGACCGAGAAATGTGCATCTGAGGTATCTAGTTTGTGGATTTTTTTTTGAACAACAAAGAAACATTCTTCCCTCCCCCTCCCTTCTTGTTCTAAAAGAGAGAGAGGGAGGGAGGGAGGGAGAGAGAGAAAGAAAGTTTTGAGAATTTTACTTTTCTATTCACTGTAGTCCTGGCCAAAGTAAAGCCCTCTTTTACATTGACGTCAAGATCTTTACTAAGATTAGGGTTTCATTTCTCTATTGCAGCAATTAGCCAGGGAATGTATAAAAGGCTTGAGGGAACCAAGCGAGGACTCCAGAGGAAAAGCACTTTGTACCACAGGCAGATAGCGAGAGGCAGAGAGACGGAAGAGTGGCAGGGAGAGAGGCTGAGCAGAGCCAGCCCAGCTAGCGAGGGGAAGAGCAGAAAGTTTGTGTGCAAAGACTTTCCTCTAGAGCCCTCCCTTGACAGGGAAAAGAAGTATTTCACCTGGTAGCTCCGGTAATAAAAGAATGAGGAAAACTACTGAAATAGGAGAAAATTAGAGGAAAGTTAGCCAGTTTCGTTTCAATTTTAGAATTACAGGCAATTTGCAGCCCGTCTCTCTCTCTCTCTCCCCCCTCTCTGTTTAGAGGACTGCAAAGGGCTTCTGGCTAAGTAAAAACAACAGTAGTTTGAGTTAGAGTTTTTTAAAAATTAAAAGCAGCTCAGGGTGGAAAAACGTTCATGTTGGCGTGGTGCTTCCCTTTTTCTTTTAAGCAGCTCTACTGAAGTAAGAACTGAGCCAACATTGAAAGAGAGCTAACGGAGCACTATGAATTTTTAAAAAGACCCTTATGTTTCATTATTTTTATTATTATTTTTCATGAGGGCACACAGGGTATGAAAAGGGAACTCCGAGAACCCTTTGAAGAAGAGGAGCAAGCAAGATGGGTTTGTTGAGCATTGACCTGTTGATCACACTTCAGATCCTGCCGGTTTTTTTCTCCAACTGCCTTTTCCTCGCCCTCTATGACTCGGTGGTCCTCTTGAAGCACATGGTGCTTCTTCTGAGTTGCTCCAAAGCTGCACGTGGTGAATGGCGAAGGATGCTCACATCAGAGGGCTTGCGCTGCGTCTGGAATAGCTTTCTCCTAGATGCCTACAAGCAGGTAGGTGTGTGTGGACAGGCATGGTCTGAAGACCAAACATCTGAAGAGAGTCCTTGGGCTCCACTGCAGAGAGGAAGAGGTATTAAGACAGCATGTGTGTGAAGTTGATATAACATTTACTAAATGAAGACAAAATTGTAAATATTACTATCCTAGGCATTTAGTGCATAATGTATTAATTTGGTAATCTAATCTATCTAATTTTGGTACCATCTCATTTGTTTCAGTGTTGTTTTATTAAGAGATATACTTTCATATTCTAATTTCTTTGCTTGGGTTGAGCTATTCTGTTTTTAAAACCTTTTCTGTAGAGTTCACTTCCTGAGTAATTAATAGCACTATATTAAGGTCTAAGCAGAGATTGCACTATTGCCCTTGTTGGTGATTTTTTTGTGCCCTCCAAACACTTCTTTTCTGGTGCATATAAATATACACATGCACACAGGCACAGAGTGAGTGACAAATTCCCCTCTCTTTCCTTTGTGAATATAATGGTAAAGTTAGATGAGTCCAAAGATATGTAGAACTTCAGACATAACAGACAAATTTCTCATACTGCCAGCTACTAAACTTAAGCAATCATGAGAATATATGTATTGTCACTATTTAAAATGGTAGGCAGAATTAATAGGAAATCATCTTCACTTCACTTATTTCCATCTGCAAAAGTAGCCATACACAGTTTTTCTGGCCCAATTTCAATTTTGCAGATGGAAACAGTGAAGTGGGGAAGGTAATTGTCAGTTTTTGAACTAATGCATATATCCCTTGCAAGAAACTGCAGGTTGTTCTTGCATTTTGCAAGAGGAGCACAAAATTTTTCAGAAGAGTACAAAGATTTTCAATACTTGTGGTTAATTAACTGATTGGCTGACACCCCCCCCTCCAAATCATAATTGGGGGGAACTTGTCCTATTGACATCATTTTATGGCTTGGTATTTCCCCAGTTGCTGACAAAGCAGAAAACTTAAATTCCTAAAATTGATTTTCTGAAAAAGAAAAAAAAAATCTCTGAAAGAATAATAGCTATCTTTCAGCTAGGGTGAACATACAATACAGAATTTGAATACAAAATTCAAAGAAGCCTTGGTTATGTTACCTGAGATAGATAAATCCAACCTTTTCATTACCTTAGATAGGAAGATACTTGCTTTTGGTTGGTATCAAAGGTGCTTTCTATTTTTGCCAAAAAAGTTATTCAACAGATTTTTCCATTTTAGCCTTTTCTGTAGTATATATATATACTTCTGAGGGATCTCTTGCACCATGGAGAGCTCCCATGATAGTATCATCAAGAGTAAATTGGAGTCTTAGGTACCCAGGGATAACTCTCTGCATATGTTTCCGCTTAATAGGTAGAATTGTTCTTTAATAAAATAACTCTCACAATGTTCAATAAATGTTTCTAGATAAACAAAAGATTTTTTACATTTCTGTAGAAACATTTTTCCGCTTCTGTAGATCCTGTGGTAGGAAATATTTTGCCAGAATGTTATTGGTATCTTGAAGTTTGGCAATATTGAAATTCTTTCACTGCAGAATTTGTACAGAAGTGTAGACATTCTTTAAGGCAATAGTGTAGATGCAGACCTATATGCTATTATATACAATAGTGAATGTTGTGCCCAGATTTCAGTCAGTTGCTTTGTTTTAACTTTCTTCCCAAGGGGGAAAAAGGCTTGAAACATTAATATTTGGTGGATTCACTGAGCTGACATTTCCCCCCCAAAAGACAGAAAGTATTGGTGCTAAAAAAGAATCAGAGAATCATATTTTATGACTATTTAAAATTGCAAACATGTATTTATTTGGGGACGTTTTAATATCTTGACCTATATTAAAATTTTGCCGGGAGTAGTAAAAAAAACAAACCCATACAGTATTTGTCTTGTTTGAAGAACTACATACCACAACACTTTTTGAAGTAGTATAAATCCTGACTGTTTTGATCTGTGCACTTGAATGACATACTCCTTTGGGTATCAGATGCTCATCATTCTGCTGAAGAGAATTATGCAATATATCATACTGGCTTTAATACAATAACCTGTAAAATATATTTTGTAATCCTGAATCCCTTCCTCCAATGTAGTGTACAAGAAATGCAGCCTAGGTTAACTACTAACAGTTCCAGTAGATGTGCAAACAAGCAAATATTTCCCTTAGGCAAATAATAGCATTTTCACTATTATGTTATTAAAACTCTTCTGCCCAGTTCTTCAGTTCTTCCTGCTCCTACTCTGTAATATATTTATAAACACCTGTTCATCAATGCATTCTTTGAAGCATTTTTTTGCATCTGAACATTTCAAGCATTCCACCAAAAAACAATTATTCAAACAATATTTTGATTAATACCCAACTTTCATACATAGATGAACATATGAAAAGTATTTTCTTTGACACTGCACATTCTAAATCAACCTATGCCCCCCCCCACCATTCAATTTCTTTTATTTCATTTTTTACCCCTACAAAGGATAACCATTTCTGCACCAGACACAAATACTATCATTCATAGAAGTACTGGAGGTGATATTTCTTTGAAGGTCATACTATTCTGCAAGATGCTTATGGGAGAACAAAACAAAGGTTTATACTAGACAAGATGAGCAAATAATTTAATTTAATAACTCCCAGTGAAGTTTGTATGAAAAGAACATACATATTACAAAGGGATGACTGTATTTTCCCTATACAACAATAAAGAGAAAAAGGATGATGTACTATGCTTGAGTCTCATTTTCATAAAGTGATTCCATTTTTACTCAACTGCATCACTAATGTATTTGAGCAAAGCCCAGCTAACCTATCCCATAGTCACAATAGTCAGACTATTCTGTTGCCTGCCAGAAAAAAATGCTTTGTCTCCACCACTAATGGCAACAGAACACCAAGAATTTGTTTTCAGGTTGTCAATAGATCGTGCCAATTAGCTGGCCAGTGGAAGAAGCCAATTGTATTTCCTCTGGCTCTGCAGAATCTTTGCATTTGATAGTTTCTTGCAGCCATATTGTAGATGTTGGTTGCTTGTCCTGCTCCAGTCTAAAAAATATATGCAGCAATCTATGTCAAAATACTATAAATTAGATATTTCATGCACCAAATGGAATCATCTTCCTTATTAAAGGACCAGGTACCCAGTCTTGAAATACTCTTGGATCTGATATTGAAATGATGATAAAAATATATTAGGTTAAAGAAACTTGACTATCCTATCTAGAGAAAGCTGATTTAACTATAGTGACATATGTATTTGTAATGTCTACATAAGGTTGCTGTAATATTATACATAATGAACTGTTCTTAAAGTTAGTTTAAAAGCTACAATTGGCAGGAAGAATGTTTGTGGGTGCCAGTTACTCAGATTTTATTATATCTATTCAACAGGGGTTATATCAGAGACCTGTTTGCCTCCAGACCTGATGCAAAAGGCTGGTTTTCTTTAAAAATATATTTCAGACCATGTAAATTGAAAGATGGTCTGTATTTATTTCAATCCCTAGCAGCATTAAAATCAGCATCAATTATTGTACTCTGATCCGTCATAACATCTCTTGGTAGTAGACATCCAAGATAGGGCCTTTTCTTTCATAGGTGACTCTATGCCTTCGGAAATCTTTTCCTATCACTGTAATCTTTAAATACTTGTTCTGTTCCACATTTTAGACTTAATATCAAAATGCTTATCTACTGCTATATTTCATTCATTTGATTATATTGTCTTGTTAACTCCCTTGTGAGGGAAGGGTACCAAGAAAGAAAGACTAAAAGCTTTAAAATAAATCAATACTTTATACATCTCATTTTGCACTGGAGCATCCTAGAATGTGTATGAATATGATTTAGAATAACAAAGCCAAATAACTAAAAGCAATTGAATGGACCTTCAGACTATATGGAGTGATGGGTAATTAACATTGCACCTGTTCTGAGTTGAGCACTTGCCTCTTCGCCTTCTCTTCAGCAGGCTATCATTGCCAGGAGCAGAAAGAAGGAACTTAGTTGTGTTGTTAGAAAGCTGGCATAGTGGGCAAACTCTATTAAAAGCCATGCTGAAATTAAAATTCAAAGTACAATAAATTTGCTTACTGGCCAATATAATATGGAGCAATTTGTTGTTAAAACTGCTAGTTACAGATTATGTTTCTTTAGATAGAGTTACTGATGATTCCCTTTTATTTGCTCATTTTTTTTGCTTTGGGTATCCAGCTTTAGTAAGTACTTTCTACATCGAACTTTGTTGAACTTTGCTTTTCAGTTTTGAACACCTGCCAGGTTCAATGGGGTTCTGTTTTGCACTGTTTCCTCCTTGTCATTTGAAAAGCAGCCCCAGGAGGCAAGCACACCCTATGTTGCATAGATCAGTTCTTTATAACAAGGCTAATTATCATAATGAGGGCTAATAGAGTTGATAGGGTTTATAACACTGGGTCACTTAACACTTTAGAAGAAGAGGTCAAAGAAAGGGCTTTTTTTCTGAGAGCACTTCATATACTTGCTCCAAAAGGTACTTAACTATTAGAATGGAAAAGGCAGTTCTATTTCATCATATATTATGAAAACATAATGCTTCCCACCCCACCCCAGCTAATGTATGTGCAAATGACTTGTTGTCATTTCTATAGGTCATCCAATACAGGCTTAGTGCCACCATGTTTGACCTGTATGTAGAATATATGTATAGAAACTATACAAACAATATTCAAGTCATTGCTGGACTTTTGTGGGAGGTGTAGATGAGGTAATGCCACCCTTTTCATAAGACAGAACTTCAACCTTGCCTGGAATCTCACTTTATAAATTCCAGGAATAAAGATAGGAATAATATTCAGCAAAACTTCATTTTCAGGGATATCCTTCCGCGATTGCATAAATAGTTTGGCACATATAAATGTCCAGTTTTATATATTTTTTTATAAGGCAGTTTTTACTTGCAAAGCAGATTTCTCCGCTAAGTGGGAGGTTAAAAAATAAAAGTATAGGATGAGTTTATTAT